GGGCCGCGCGGGGAGGCGGGAGCCTTGGCCCCGGGAGCCCGGCGGGCTGCAGCCAGGGCGCGGGGCTTCCTTTCCTTGCCTTGCCCTTCCCTGGGGCCCGGCCCGGCCCGGCTCCCCACCCCACCCCACCGGGGCTCCCGCACAGCAGCTCCTCCCAGCCTCCCCGAGGGTGCCGAGACCCCCCGAGTAGGGGTTCCCTGTTCCTTCAAGCCTAAGCAAAAAAGCAGCATCAAAAGAGCCCCTCTGGGGCGGTGAAAGCTCCTTTGAACCTGCTGCCTGGATGCATTAGGGAGACCCACGGGGCCAGACCCCCCTGCGCTGGCCTAGGACCCCGTCCCTCCCAGGCGCGCGGGCTGTCCCAGCATGAAGCCTGCCGCTGTGCTCTCGCGGAGGCTCCGACTGTGCCTTTCGTGATGTCCCTGCACTGGTGCATGGCTGAACTGTTGAGCACCGTGCCCGTAATTGCCTTTCCCATGTCCCGGGTTGTTTTCCCAGCGACTCGGGAAGAAGCACGCCCCAGGGGTTTGGGCCCGGTTGCCACCTGAGGCACGGTTTCTGCCACTCCTGCTGCCAGGATCAGAGAGCCAGGAAAGCACTAGGACAGGCAGAAGAGTGCCTCCCTGCCCACCCAGCCCCTTGGCACCCCCAAAAGTTCCTCTAGGGAAATGGAGGGAAAGGCTCTGAGGGGCCTCAGCAGCAAGAATCGGCGTTGGGGTGCAGGGAAGGGGGGTTGGTTCCCTTTTGCCCAGCGGAGAGTTGTCGAGAGGGAGAAGAGGAACGTGAGATGAGCATGGCCAGGGAAGCACAGGCAGCAGGAGAAAAGGGAGGGGCTGATTCCTGACACTCCCTCCTGCCTTCCAGACAGCACCCAAGACCCCCTGAGGGGTTACCCAAACTCCACAGGGAGGGCAGGTGAATCCCTCTAGGGTCAAAACACTGTCAGGGACCACAAAGAGAAAGTTAAGTTACTCTGCTCAGGTTAGAAGCTCAGCTGAGTATTCCCAGGGCCTGCCTCAGCGTTATGGGGACAACATGATGCAATGACCTGGAGCTTCTTGCCAGGTGCTTTTTAGGAGCAAAAAGGGCTGGATTCAGCACCCATCAGGAAACTCAAATCGTCTTGGCTCTAGACCCAGCCAGGAACTTGGGAAACTTGCTGACGTCCTCTGGGCAGTCCTGATGAGGCACAACCCCCCATGGGCAAGGAGGGAGCCAACCAAAGAGAAAATGGAAACACAGTAAAGCAGAATTGTATGAAAACCTTGAGTGGCAAATTCATGGTTGGTGAGATGCTCTTTGACCCCAGTCTTCCTCCTTTGGCAGGGAGTGTGCAAGAGGGTGGATGTTTCTCAGGGCCCTGGTGCCTCTCCTGAAGTTACTATTGCTCCTGTGCTGAATAGAGAAGCTGTAATCAGTCTTCACCTAAGGCAGCGTTTCCCACTTTGGGGCTTTCTGGCCCACCACAGTGAAGTTGGCCAATCTTTTGTCCTCTCCTTCCTCCCAACTTCAGCCACCCACAGCATTTACAGGATTGCACACCCATGGACACTGGGACTTTTCACACCCCACCTCATGGCATGCAGCCCACAGTTTGGAAAAAGCTGATGTAGGAGTCTGCTCTACTTTTGTCAGCTTCTATGGAAGCAGCCCTCATCTCTCCACTGTTTCATCTCTAACCCTTGTCTCTCCCCTAACTCAGTTTTCTGAACCACCTGGGAGCAGCCTCTGTAGCATTACAGTTCTTGGAAGGGAATCATTGTCCTACAGAGCCTCAGCTGCATGCTCATTTCTCAAAGCTACCCTCAAGCAGAGACAATATCCAGGCCTGCTGTTTTTGCCCCTACAGCCAGGCCTTCCCCTCACAGGCCCACATCTACCCCCAGCTTGATGTAGCTCTTCAGTCTCAGGATAAAGTTGCAGGAGCCCCTTGTGGTGAAATAACAATACCTTGTCCTTGACCCTGGGAGAGAATAATGTGTGCAATACCATCCTTCAGCCCCAAGCAGCCCAGGCAGGTTGTTTAATAAAACTATTCTAGCATGCAAGTGATTTCATTGAATAGCTTGGGTGACCCTAAGGCTTTCTGACCGGTATCCAAATACTTCCCCTTCTGCTGCAGTGAGAAAAGGTAAATGCTCCACAAAAGGAACAGAGTTTCCCTTTCGCCCAGCATCCCAGCGATTAGAGCAGTGGTTTTCAACCTGTGGTCCACAGACCCCTTTTGTCTAAGGGGTCTGCAAAAGATGACTGTAATCAATCAGAAGTATGTAAAGACCCACACTTACAATTAAAAGGGCCCTGCACCTCCATTCAAAATTGTTTAGGGGTCCACAAATGAAAAAAGGTTGAAAAGCACTGGATTAGAGCAATAGCTGGGATGTGGGAGGCACAGGGTCACAACCCCCTATGGTACATAAGATCGGGCATTTCCATTTCCCACCTCCCATGATAGTACCCCAACCACCAGCCTGTAGCCCCCAGGGGTGGGAGGTGGGGGTGAAAAGACACCAATTTCCTACGTTAGGGCCAGGGGAGATTGAAGACAACCCAGGGGACCTACTACCTAGTCCAGGCTCTTGGAAAGGGAGATTCACCCAGGGCTGTTGTTCCAGTGACTAAGACGGATTGTTAACTGTTCAGGGTTTCAGCTAATATTTAATAGTTAAGGTTTTCCTTAGAGTTGTGTATTTGTCCCCCTTCCCCCTTTAATAAATCCTGTAGAATATTGCTTGCAACTGGAAGAAGTTTGTTCACTTGGGAACATTTCCCAGGCTGCTACGTGGGGGCTTAAGCCAGAATAAAAAAACTAGTAACCCCAGTCCTTGCTACCACTGTTCAGTGCCTGGCAAAACAGTAACATTTTTTGCAGGGGGTCATCCAGGATTTCTGGGTGAGAACCCCTCACAAGCAACTGGATGATAATTCGGTAAGACATTTACTGAGCTATTTTGGGACATCTGTGGTCAACTTCCTTGCCCATCCCACTGTCACTTCTTCCTCCACTCCCCACCAACCCTTCCCCACTGAAACCCAGTTCACCCCCTGCTCCTGCAGTCAGTGAAGTACATTGCAGGTCATCCTCCTCTATGGATGTGTTTGAGTCCAGTAAGGGTTATGTTTGACCAAAGTTTCCCTCTGGGTCTCTAAGGCTTTGCACCCTTGCAGATTATTGTCTCTGAAGCTTTTCTTGCAATCATAGGCTTTCCCGCTCACATGGGTCACACAATCTGCAGCAATGGAATTGGTCCACACAAACTTTTTCTCACATTTATGGGATGGGGAGGAGGGGGGAGGCTCTCACCGATGTGTATCACAAGACATTTAGAAACACCATGTCTCTAGAGGGGGCACAGGGGTGTTTCTCACCCATGTGTTACATAACATGTATGAAACTAGACCTGTACTGGCAGCTTCTCCTTCACACTCATCCAGTCTCTCTTCACTGAAGATTCATGGCTGCACTGCAATCTCATTATAATTCTCCAGGCCTCCTTCTCAGGGACTGGATCTACCCTGTCTTCTTTGGGGGCACTTCCCCTGCTGCCTCTCTGATTGGCCCCAACTCTCACAGGCTTGTCTCTGCCCAGGACTCTGGGAAACATCCCTTTCCACTCTTCCCAGTGATGCCCCCACCTGCTGCTGCTCGCTCAGGACAGGAGAGCTGGAAATCCCCCTCTTCATTCTCACTCACTGTCCCATTGCCTACTGGGAGAGAAAGACAAAAAAGGAGAGAGAAATTCAGACAGGTGTTAGTCCCTGTGCTGGAGGCAAAAAGGACCTGGGGAAAAGAGATTCAAAATAATGGTGACTGTTTGAAAAACCAGGAGCTAAATCCCTCTCAAACCTTCTCTTAAGGAGAAAGACAAGAGGATCGTCATGCATCCACCTCCCACCAGGTCTCTCAGCAGGTGGGTCTGCAGCTGGGCATCTGTCACAGCTGTGGGAAATCCAGGTGCAAAGTCTGTTATGAGGACACAGCACCTGTCAGGTATGATCCCAACCTGGGTGGGGTGTAGCAGACAGAAGGTGGAGAGGGCTCAAGGGCCTTGCAGAGAAATCCAAATCCATTAAACAGTCATGAGAGCAACTATTCAAAAACAGACATTTGTCCTCCAACACAGGAGTCTGTAGACCCAGGGCAGGTGCATCTTCCTTCTGCATCTTCTCTTTTCTACCCAGTTCCTGGGAACCACCCACCCCTGAAACCCAAACTGTCCACCCCATCTGCTGCTGGGACCTACATCATTCCTCCCTGATACACAGTCATGCCTTGCAACAACAGAACCAGGTCCATGGACCCAATGTGAGAGTTCCTGCTGCCTTCTACCGTAGGCAAGATAGGGTCTATTGCAGGGTCTGGGGGAACTGAAAGAGACCTTCACCCTGTAGCTTTTCTTACGCACATAAGACTGGAAAGGATGTTTGTCAGTGTGGATACCCATGTGTAAGGAAACCTCTTATCTTAGATTGACGCGTTCCCTGTAGCCAGGATACATGTAGGGTTTCTCACCTGTGTGGATGCTCTGATGTTTAATGAGGCTATTCCTCTGACTGAAGCTTTTTCCGCAGTCTGCACACAGGTAGGGCTTCTCTCCTGTGTGGACGATCTGATGCTTATTAAGATCCTGTCGCAACCTGAAGCATTTTTTGCATTTGGGGCATGTGAAAGGTTTCTCTCCCGTGTGGATCCCCTCGTGCTGGATAAGCATGCGTTTCAAGCGGAAACTCTCCCCGCACACACGGCACAGGAAGCATTTCTCCCCTGTGTGGATGCTCTGATGTTCAGTAAGTTCCTGTCGCAATCTGAAGTTCCTCCCACAGTCAGGGCACACATGGGGTTTCTCCCCTGTGTGGACGCTCTGATGTCGAGTAAGATCATATCGCAACCTGAAGCTTTTCTTGCACTCAGGGCATGTGTAGGGTTTCTCACCTGTGTGGATTCTCTGATGCAGGGTAAGATAGTGTCGTAACCTAAAGCTTTTGCCACAGTCGGGGCATGCATGGAATTTCTCTCCTGTGTGGACGCTCTGATGGGCAGAAAGCTTTGACCTGAATTGGAAAGTTCTGCCACAGTCAACACATTCCCAGGGTTTCTCTTGGCTGCAGGTCTGCGCCTGGACCATGGCTACACTCAGGTCCCCCAAGTCAAGCCCCTGGGGAGTAGATTTTCCCTTTCTCCTCTCAGGCAGTTTTCCCTGCTGTCTCTTTGGCCAGCACTGACTCTCATGGGCGTCTTGCTGCTCAAGATGCTGAGTAACAAACCCTTCAGTTCTTCCCAGGGCTGTCAGAGGGAATTCTGCCTCCTGTGGGCTGGGCTGCTGGTCATTCTCCAGTTTGTTCTCCCTCATAGCTCCATCTGATGTAAGAGAAAGAGGAAGGGAAGGAGGGAGACAGAGAGAGAAGATGAAAGACGTAAGGCATTTCTTGAGCTGCAGAAAATGGAGAAATGTGAAAGGGGGGCAAACAACTAACTGAGACCCCTAGTATGTGAAGCTGAATCCATTTGGAGCTCCTCACTAGAGGAGAGGAGCCACTCTGTCCTGCCACAAAACCTGTGGCAGGAGGAACCCTCACTTGGTATTAATCAGACTGGGGGAAAGTCTTTGAGTGACACTTGTCATGGGGAAGCAGCAATTACCCAGGCAACTGAGACCTGGGTGGGAGGAGGTAAAACCAAGGGAGGGCTTGGCATGGCCCTAGTAGGAATCCCAGGTGTCTGTGCCAGTGACAACAGATGGTTCCTGTGCCCATTTAATTGATTCCTCACCTGTATGCATGTCTCTGAGGATCTTCATTCTCTCCAAGACCTGATGATCTGGGACCCAGGGATCTTCCCCCCGTTCCAGCTGAGAGATCACATTGGGTTTGGGAATGGGATATCCAGCTCCAAAGGAAGAAGAAAAGCAAGACCAGAGTGTTACAAATGACAGAAGCATCTCATTGTTTCTAGAGATGCTGGGCAGGCAGGTGCTCTAGTACAAACCAGAGAAATGGGAAATGCTCCTGCAAGTCTTTTGGGGATGTCAGAGGTTTCCTGGGAGACTTGTGGTTTCTCCTACAGAAGATTCAGGGAACTCTGCCCACAGGACTGTTTCTCTCAGGACTCCAGCACACAGAGCAGCTGTGCAACTTCTTACCTCTTCCTAACCATGCTGAGACCTGAGCCCTTCCCTGAGCCACCTCTGGGGAAGAAAAAACACAGGAAATCTCTGTCTGCGGGGCTCACACACTCACTGGCAGCAAAAACTGCCCATGCTCCAACCTCCCTTTTGGACACTCTGGGGATGTGGATGGATTACCAGTTTCATAATGTTGCCAACTCTCCCCTCCCACAGGACAGGGTGTGAAAAGAAAGGTCTCCCTTATAGGAATTGTGGGGACCACAGGGTTGATCTCCTGAAATATAAGGGATGAGAAAAGAGCTCTGAGAACACAACCAATATATTCCAGGGACCCATGAAGAAGTAGTAATACTTACCCAGTGAGCCTACCATCTCGTAATTCTCCAGCATGACATCCCTGTAGAGAGCTCTCTGGCTGGGGCCCAGCAAAGCCCACTGCCCTTCAGTGAAGTACACAGCCACCTCCTTGAAGGTCACCAATCCCTGAAACAGCAACAGGATTCTGCCTCTCAAGCACCTACCAGCCAGCAGCAATCCACCTACCCCATGGCAGGAAGGAATGGAAACTCTCCTTCCCTCGAGATCCAAGAATTTCCGCTTGGGCATGCGGAAATTTAATGAAGCCACCTGTGCCCCTTCTTGCTGAGGACACTGAAGATGTGCTTTCTTCAGGGAGTAGTGGGGGAAGAGTTGGTAGGCACTATCAACAGATGTGGTGACAGAGGGAGATAAAAGGAGGATGGGGGAAGGGAGCAGGGTGCACAGTGGTGTGGGAGTCTGGCACCAGTCAAGAAAGGTGCAGGGAACACAGCAAGGTACATGCAGACTAGGCAGGCCTGGAAGGGGGAAAATTGGCAAGTGCAGAAATTCACCACGCTGTATGTGGGCGTGTGGATGCACACATGCAACTTCTCTTTCTGGAGGTGATTTCCTGACTCAGGCAAACACAGGGACGTAAATCACACCCTGAACTCACTGCCTGACTGAATCATAGAAAGGGTTGGAAAGGACCTCAGGAGGTCACATCTAGTCCAACCCCCTGCTCAGAGCAGGACCATCCCCAACTAGCTCATCCCAGCCAAAGCTATGTCTAGTTGGGTTTTGAAAACCTCCAAGGATGGAAAATCCACCACCTCTCTGGGTAACCTGTTTCAGTGTTTTACTACCCTCCTAGCGAAAAAATTCTTCCTCATATCTAACCTAAACCTCCCTTGCTGCAACTTGAGACCATTGCTCCTTGTTCTGTCATCTGTCACCACTAAGAACAGTCCAGCTCCGTCCTCTTTCAAACCCCCCTTCAGGTAGTTGAAGACTGCTATTAAATTCCCTCTCAGTCTTCTCCTCTCTAGACTAAATAAGCCCACCCAGCTCCCACAGTCTTTCCTCAGAAGTCATGTCCCCCAGCTCCCTCACCATTTTTGTTGCCCTCTGCTGGACTCTCTTCAGTGTCCACATCCTTTCTGTAGTGGGGGCCCCAAAACCGAACACAGTACTCCAGATGTGGTCTACAGGAGACACCAGAACCAATCCCATGTCATTTCTTCGGGAGCCCGGGACAGACTAACTGCATAGGACCCATTCCAACATTTCAAGGAATATTTTGCCCAGTGGGAATCTAGAAGAGCCTGATTTATTGGGAAGGTAAACACTAACCATGCCTATTTGGGCTTCACTGCCTATTTGGGCTTCACTCACAGGGATCTCTTTGGGGGTCCCATCTCTGCCTTTGGTTCATTTACATGTGTTCATATACGTGTGTGTATGTGTATATATATATATATATATAAATTTAATCTGTCGGGAAACAGAAGAATAAATGGTCTACATTCAACACGCAGGGTCTGCTCAGAAATAAAGTGTAATGGCTTGGAAATGGCACAGCTTTGTCTCTACTTCAGGGTGTTGTTGAGGGGAAGAGTCACTGGAGATGCCTGCAGGCACATATCCTCCCATGCAGCCAGGTGGAACCCTGTTCCTTATTCAAGCAACAGTAGAAAGAGGTGAGGGGACTGGATGTGAGGCAAGAAATTACTTCAGAACGAAGCTACATGCCATCGCCAGAACAAAGCTACATTACACATACCAGCTGACATCACTGGACAGGTATTGTGCCACATGAAGCCAGTAACAGCCCAGTTTCCAATCTAATGACTAAATAACATATCTCCCATCCTCTAACAATGCAGATTTGTGATAACTGCTAGCACTATTTCTCTATGGGGCTCAGAGTTCTTTGTGTGACACAAAGGGAAACTGAGGCACAGAGATACATGCAACTGCAGCAGTAGAGGGAAAAACCCTTAAAAAAACTCTAGATTTCTCTATGTTGGTGTTATGGTACATTTACTGCTCTCTATAGGAAAAGGGCTTTCATCTACCAGTCTCCTTTGCTTCTGTATTGATTCTCCTGCCTCACACGTCGTACCAAGAAACAGAGTGACAAACTCTCACCTGAGCCAATGCCAATGCAGTCATTTCTCTTTCTTGTTCCTGGGGACTCTTCATTTCTGGGGAGTGAAGAGTCAGTGTTAGTTGGGAGTCCACGATCAGGGAGAGAAAGTAACAAGGGGAGAATTCAGAAGAGGCTTCAGTCCCTGCCACATCCTGGATACTCACAGGTTTTATTCACTGATGGGAAAAGCCTGGAGTGCAACTGGTCAGAAACAGACCCTTGTCCTCTATACAGAGGGGTCAGTGGGTCTGGGACAGGTGCACCTTAGCCAGGCATATCTTCTCTCTGCATCTTCTCTTTCCCACCTGGTCCCTGATGACCACCCACCCCTGAAACCCAAACCGTCCCACCCCCACCCACTGCCTAGACCCACGCCACCCCCACTAATGCATATTCATGCCTTGTGGCAGCATGGTGCAAGCCCATTGCCTGGCAGTGTGAGCTCCTGCTGCCTTCTACCCTTCTGCCGTCTCTGGGGAGAGTTGAGAGAGATCTTTGCCCTCTTGCTTTTCCTGAACACTGGAAGAGCTGCTTGTTCATATGGATGTTCTGAGGCTGAATAAGGGACCTCCCTCATCTGACCAAAGCAGCCCCCACAGTCCAGGCATGATTAAGGTTTCTCACCCTTGTGGATTCTCTGATGTTGAATAAGTTTCTTCTTTTGAACAAAGCTTTTTCCACAATCAGGGCAGGCATAGGGTTTCTCTCCTGTGTGGATACTCTGATGTTCAATAAGGTTACTTCTCCATCTGAACCTCCTCCCACAGTCAGGGCACACGTGGGGTTTCTCCCTTGCACCAATGCTCTGATGCAGAGTAAGACTGGACTGTGACTCGTCAGCTTTTACAGGCACAGGGCAGGCATAAGAACTTTCTCCTGGGTGAAGACTTTGATGATGAATAAGGGAACATTTCAGGCGGAAACTCTTCCCACAGTCAGGGTACATGTAGGGTTTCTGTCCTGTGTGGATGGTGTGGTGTTGAAAAAGGCTACGCTTCTGTTTGAAGCTTTTCCCACAGTCAGGGCACACGTGGGCTCTCTCTCCTGAGTGGATGCTCTGCACGTTTAATAGATCTGAGCTAGAGCTGACACCGTTCTGAAGTGCAGGAAGTTTTGAGCTGCCCTGAAATATTCTGGCACACTTAACACATTCCCAGGGTTTCTCTTTACTGCAGAGTCTGGAGTGGACTGTAACTCCACTGCCATCCCTGAAGCCAGGACTGGATTCAACACATTTCCCATGTGGAAAATTTTTCTGCTGCCCCCTTGGCCTGCAGTGACTATCATGGACTTCTCCCGGCTTGGGATGCTGGGGAACATCTCCTTCCATGTCTGCCCCATGGAGTTCTGCCTGCCCTGTGCAAGGCAGCTGGGGATTCTGTGCCTTGTTCTCCCTCAGGGACCCATCGTCTGCTGCATTAGAAAGAGAAAGACAGAAAGGAGGAGAGAAAAGGCAGACATGAGGCATTTCTTGGGATGGAAGAAAAATATGAAAAGGAGATAAAAATAAAAGTCTCAGAGACTCTGAAAATGTGAAGCTGAATCCTTTTAGGTCTCTTTTTCAGAGGAGACATTCTGTGCTGCCTCCAAACCCATGGCCAGAGGGACCGTCAGTTGGTGTTTAATGGCTTTGGCAGAAAGGGTGAGGGGTGAGTCCTTGAGGGATATCTGTCATGAGAAACCAGAACGGAGGCAACTGAGACCTGGGTGGGATGAAGCAGAAACTGGGTGAGGGGCATACAGGGCCCTGATGGTTTCTGAACCCATAATCTGAATCCTCACTGGTGCATATGTATCTCAAGATCTCCCTTCCCTCTGAGCACTGATGATCTGAGCCCAATGGGACCTCCCTATTCAGATGGGAGTTCCTAAGATGCCATGTGATCTGGAAATCCAGGTCCCGGGATAAGACAATCCCAGAGTTTCCACGGTGACATGCTGGACAGGCAGGTACCCTTAAATAAACCAGACTAATTGAAAGGGTCCCTGAAGACCATTTTGGGGGTAAACAGTTCTGGGCCATTGTGTGGTTTCCTCTACAAGAGACTTGGGGAACCCCACATGCTGAGCCATTTTTTTCAGGTTTCTCCACCACCCCAGTGCACAGCCTCTAATCTCCTCCAGCCCAGCCAACAGCTTTCCAGGCACAGGACCAGCCCTGGGGAGGGCAGGAGGGGGACATGATATCCATGCATGCAAACGTGCAACCTAAGTGAAAGAGGCACAGCACGGCGCACACCCCAACCTCTCTCCTTAGGATGCTCTAGGGATGGGGATGCAGTCACACCTCCACTGTATCCCACAACCTCTTTGCATGGCAAGTACAGGACCTAGTGTCACTAGGTATTGTGTGGCTGATTTCCCTGAAATCCAAGTGGTCATGGAAGAATCCCCCTCAGAAGCAAACCAGTCTGCTTTAGAGGCCCCAGGGCTTATAATGCCTGTGGTCAGGGGGGTGCAGTAGTGCAGCTGCAACCCCCTCTGATTCCTGCTCCACCTGAACTTCAAAGCCAGCTGCCTGGGAGTTCAAGCATTACTGAATCAGTTGACTTCATGCCTCATTATGCCTGATGGCAGGCAGGCAGGCATGCAGCGCAGCGCAGCACTGGGCCCAGAGACGTGCACGGGCCGGGGGCAGGGGGGGAGCCCCGGCGCCCCCAGCCACAGCTCCCTCTCCGGCCAAGGAGGGGCTGCCCCGGGGCCGGGGCCGGGGCTCCCTCTGCCGGCAGAAGGGCGGGATGCGGAGCGCGTCCCCCCCCGGCCGGGCCGAGCTCGAGG